TCTCTCTCTCTCTCTCTCTCTCTCTTAATCTGTTGGGATAAAGATCCCATATTGGAAATATCTAAGGGACTTGAGTAATATATAAGGGACTTAGACAAATCCACTAATTACCGATTGGTTTTAAGTTGGAAGCCCAAGAAACTTATCATGGTATCAGAGCGGGCCCACACCCTTACTCATTAATCTGGCCTGGACAGTGGCCCAATCAACCCATTAGCTGATGGCCCAGAGAAGGCTTAGTTCTATCGAGATTGCTAGAAGAAAAAGCATTGTCTCGGTAGAGAGCATTGTGAAACTGACTCATTATGTTGTTTTTCACTTCCTCAATCTTCATAAACTTCGAAAGCTTGTCCAAATTGCCAGTAATGAGATAAAGAAATGATAATTTGTCAAAGTGCTTTGTCTGCTGGTACGGAAACTGAACAGTTCCGGAGTTGCCTTGGCGACGAGCCTCCGCTCCAAGTCTATACCAGTATTCTTTCTCGTTAATCTTTGTAGCTGATGCAACGGCTACACTTTAGTTGCCATTTTCAAGAGCCAGGTTGAATCGGACCCTTTCGTCTTCAACAAAATGGAGGGCAACGTCAGGGAGTCCTTTCTGGTGCATGTAGCCAATCTGGGAGCTTTTAAAAGTGCTCATGACATAATCATATCTCTTTCTCAGCAGCGTAAGCTTGAACATGTACTCACTTGAGTCAATGTTAATTTCCCAGTTTTTCACATACCGATTTAAGCCAAAGATTATATTACCAAACACCTTGGTAATATGGATTGGGATATTCATGGTTTCGGATGATTCCAGTATCTCCATTAGGAAGACAGTACTTGGTATGAATTGAAGTAGTGTAAATGAAAACACCATTTTCATCCCAAGCTCCACTCTTCACACGTTTTGTCTCATGGAGCGTGCACTGGAGGACAAGTTTATTGCTGGCGAGAATGTTAGTATATGTTTGCTGAGCAAAGCAACACTCTCCATATCACTGGACCAAACAACATACCTTATAACAAAACCGTGACTCAAGTTCACCAAGAACAAAAATGTCAAATAAAACCACTTTATCCTCAGATGTACGAAGCAGATTTCTACCCCAGC